TGGTACCAGGGATTGAACCAAAGATGCTTTACCACTGAGACATATACCCAAGATTCTTTTATTTTTATTTTCAGACAGGCTCTCACTAAGTTGCTTAGGCTGGACTTGAACTTGCAATTATCTTACCTCAGCCTCCCAAGTCACTGGGATTGCAATGCCTGAACTTATTTTTATAGATTACATACAATTCAAAGAACAAAAATTAAGAAAAAAAATGGAGTTGTATGTAGTGAGTATTCAATACAAAAATGTCTATTTTGAGACATAAATAACATTAAGTGGACTACAAATCTATAAAGAGTAAAATTTGTGTATTGTAATTTGACATTAAGTTTTATTAGCTTATAATAGACTAAAATTGTTAAGATAGTTTCTGAAATTTCAATGGTAATCAAAATAAATTCTATAAAATATATACACAAGGAAAATATCAGAGAATCAAAGCATATCATAAAATATCAATAAAACACAAAGAAGTTAATGAGAGAGAAAGGAGGGACAACATCTAGAAGATATTCAGTGTATATGTAACATATGCATAAAATAATCAACAGAGAAAACAAAATATCAACAATAAGTTCTTCCTTATCAGTAATTATTATAAATGTTAAGTGGACTATAATCCCAAATCAAGACAGACATGATTGAAGTGGTTTAAAAAAGAAGGATCTAACTATACACTGCCTTGGAAAGAATCACTTGAAAATCTAAGAATACAAATTGGCTGAAAAAGAAAGGAAAGAAAGTAATTATTTCAGCAGATAATAACCAAAGTAAGAGAAGGGTAGTTATAACAGAAATGGTTCAAAACTGTTACAAGAGAAAAAGAAGGGTATTACATTCACATTAAAGTGCAAATTCACCAAATATCAGAATACCTAAAAGTATTAGGAATATCTGAAAAATATTGAAAGGAGAACTTCACAGCAACACAATAAGAATAGGAAACTTCAGTACTTGACTTTTGATAAGGGACAGAACAACCAGGCAGTTGATACTTAAATATATAAATTGAACAATAAGATATACCAGTTGGTATACCAGTATACAGAATACTCTACCCAGCCAACTAAGATACATAATATTCTCAAGTATATTTAGAACATTCTCCTGAATAGACCGCTAAAAAACAATTTTTTAAATATAAAGTCATGCAGAGTATCTTTTCTAATTTCAACTGAAGCTAACTAGAAATCAAGGAGAGAAGGAAACCTTGATTACTGATAAACATGTAGGAATTTTAAAACCGGCTTTTAACAAATAAGTCAAAGAAGAACACTCAAAGGAAATTAGAATATACCTTAAGACAAAGGAAGATGAAAAGAAAAATTCAAGATACTTTTACAGTCTTTAGAAACAGCTTATAGCCAGAAGTGCATACACTAAAAAGAAAGGAGATCTAAAATAAACAATCCAACTTAATACCTCAAGAAACTCAGAAAAAAGGGAAGAGAAAGTAAAAGTTTAAAACAGACATAAACTAACCAAGGAATAAAAATGCAACAGGAGGAATTTCAAATAAACAAGATTTGCTTGAAATATTGATGAAAATACCACCAACAAAAGACCAGCAAACAGAATTTGATGGAATCTAGAAAAGGAGAATGCAATGTGATGAACCGGGATTTATTCCTAGAGCACATGGTCTCTATTTGTGGTCTACATGATTTTACAAGTTAGAAAGTCTAAAGAGTCCACAAGAAAGAAACTGTTTAGTAAACAAATTGAGCAAAAATTCAGGACATAAAAATATGATGTTTCTATATACTAATGATAATTCAAAAAGAAATTGATAATTCCAGTTATGAAAGAATCAAAAATAATAAAATACTTTTATTCATTGATACATTGTTATTACAAATAAAAGTGGGATTCATTGTGGTATATACATACATGTATGTAGCATAATTTGGCTGATTTTTATCAGTTCTTCCTCTTTTCTTCCCTTTCTCCTTCCCCGTTGATCCACTACTTCTTCTTTACTAATATCACTTCTATTTTCATGAGATTGTCCCCCTTCTTTTTTTATTAGAGCATTATAATTAGTGCTTGGGTTCATTGATTGTTATCAGGTACAAAAGAGGAGTTTTTATTTGATACAGACCTTCAGTTTTGCAAAATGAAATTCTGGAGATTTGACAACAATGTAAATATGTTTAACACTCCTGAACTGTACACTCAAAATTGTATGAGTTTTCACCACAGTAGCAAACACTTCAATGATTACAATATTTGAGTTTCAAAGGCTAAAAATATAATCTCGTAAAGACATGTGAGTAAATGTAGATTATTGAAGTGGGCACGAACTTTCTAAGCCTGATATTATTACTGAAAAGATGAGAACAAAATGCATACCAGAAGGATTCCAGCAGAAAACTTTGGATCACAAGCCATTCCATGGTACGTTGCTCCCACAAAATTAGGATGGTCTTTATAACTAAGTGAAAAAGGTTTTGCTCATGAATCCATGCATTTCAAAATATTTCTAATGACATTTGACAAACTGCATTCCTCACTAAAGCTATGCTTTCTTTAAAACATAAATATCATAATATACATGTTATGTTTTACACTGTCAATAATTTACTGAGGGTTTCCTCCCACATTCATATGAAGTTAAGTTCGAAAAGCTGTTTAACATCATCTGGTACACAGCACAAAACCTAGCAGTACCTAATCCTTCCATGACAATAAAGTTCACTGTTATCAACACTGGGTGTGTTCTAAAATCTGAAATAAAGAATTGTGATTTTCACATAGTAAACAAACCCTAAAAGTATGAATAAAGTATTGGACTAGAGGAGGTGAGGAGGAGAGAGAACTAAGAGATGTACCCAGAAAAATGAACATAGCTTGTACAAAGTGTCTTCACACTTTAGTCTATTAATGCTACTTCTGTATCTCCAGATGTGACCTCAGAGTTACAGGAGGCATCAGAAGATTCATAATTTATTCAGCATTTTAAAAACTTTACTCTTAGTTTTACATTCATAATATTCAAATAAGACAAAAGTTTTCATAAAAACTCTTGGAAGACACAGATAAATAGGTACAGCTTAGGTCAGTATAGAATTACTTGTACCATAGGGAAAGTGGAGAGGGCCATTTCAGTTATTTACTGTTTAAATATTTGGTACTATCACCAGCATTATAAGCAACTATTATACTCTATGAACTAATTTACACTTTATGTTAAAATGATAGTTTGGACTACCTGTTAGAGGATCTTTACAGTCGTTGAGGTCTCATGTTTATCCTAATGCTTTCCAAGTTCCAGCTTCAATTCCCATAAATTACTGATCCAGTATGGGAACAACAACTTAATAAGATTTGTGTCTTACATGGTTATTAGATTTTCATGTTCTAATTTTGCCAACACAGTACTATCCCAAATTTTAAAATGTTTTAACATTATGCATAAAACTTTTTTGATAGTCAACTCATCAAAATATTGAAAAACCCTCTATCAATATGAATGAAGTACTTACATTAATAAGTATGCCATATTATTGGACCTTGAAGACAAATATGTTTGTTTCCATGACAAAAATCTTTGTAATACTTCATCAGCACTCCCATTAGTTGAAATCTTATTTTGATCTGACCAGATCTCTAAAGAAGATAGCATAACAGTCATTTTAAGCCGGGAAAACATCTGTAAAGAGAAGATACAGGTGTGCAATTTGGGTTAACCATAGAGAAATACACTAAATGTCCCGTGAGAGAATGGATCCATTTTGATACACAGTGCAAATATATTCAATTTACTGTTTTGTGAGACAAATCCACTCCTGAGTGAAACTAAGTTGGCATGAGTACACTTAAAAAAAAGCAATGCTAATGCATTAATATGAATTTTTTCTTAGTTAAATGTGAAGGACAAGTACTTACCGTATTGATGAGACCAATGATATGGATCACTTTCTCAGCTGCCACATCTATGTCAGAGTCCATATATTCAAACTGAAAAACAGTTTTGTTTCTTAATTATTAATATAAAGTTAAAATAATGAAGTAGAATTAAGTTTTGTCAAAAGCTTACTGTGCATTAGACATAAGCCTAGAGACTTTGAAGAACAATTCAGAATATTAAATTAAGATAGCTGTGATAATCTTCTCATTGCAGATACACATATTAAGGATTGGAGTATTAAGGTTCCAAGAATGCATAGCCAATAAAGATTTAAAAAAAGGAATCAAATCTGAAACTTAGTAAACAACTAAATCTAATTTGCCATCATATACTGCCATCATTTGTCTTCATTCTGGTTAAACAAATTGAATATATATCCTGGATAAACAATGTACTTTCTAAACACAAAGCCATAGTGAACAATTTCAAGAACATATCTTCTTTTAAGGTAACAAAAATCATAATGTTATCTCTGAAAATGTTATTTCTAATTGTGTACATACACACATTTCTAAATGTTTGATGGAAACATATTTAAAAATAGGCAGCTAAGAGTTCTCAGTGATTCCCAACAAGATTGAAGTCTCCTAACAAAAATAAAATGTAGTACACAGAGTACTGCTATGGTTTGGATTCAAGGTGCACCCCCCCCCCCCGCTGCAAAGCTCCTGTGTTTCTACAGGAATATTCAGAGGTACATGATTAAATTGTGAGAGCTGTAATCTTACAAATTCATACTTTATGAGTCAACTATCTGGGTGCTAGTGTTGGCCATGGGTCACCAGGGCTGTGCCCTGGAAGGGTGCATCTTCCCCGCAGTCCCTTCCCCTTTCTCTCTATGCTTCCTGGCCACTGTGAATGGAGCAGCACTCCTCAGCCATGCCCTTCCACCACAAAGTTCTGCCTTATCTTGGGCCAAAATCTGTGGAGTTGTCCATCTATGGACTGAGACCTCTGAAACTGTCAGCCCCCAATACACTTTTCCAATTCTATATTATTTTTCTTGAGGATTTTGGTCACAGTGATGAAAAATAACTAAAACAAGTACATTTACAATACAGACAAAAGAAATGGCATCCTTCTTTAAAGAACTCTAGAAATGTTTTTCACACTGTGTTCCTGTCTTAGCCGGTAACCTTCCACAATGAACTATATTATACATGTACGTAAGAAAGAATGTGAGGTTTGAGTGAACGTGCCTCATATGAAAATCAAAATGGAGTATGATTGTGCAAATGAATTCAAATATATAAATAATCAAAAAGTAACAGAGAACACACTCCATTGCAAAGAAAATAAAAATGGAATATATGGGAGTTTAAATAAAGAACTCTAAAATATAAGAGAACTTTGGGAATATGAAGAGTCAAAGGTAAAAATATATCTTCTAGTACCAGGAAAATACTAGGCACAAAGCACATGTTATGTGAAAACTATATTATTATGTTAATAAATATAAAGATAAAGATAAAGGAGAAAAATGCATATTATTATTACAACCTATTGAAAAAATATTCAGCTCGGGGAGATGGAAACATTCTAAACTTGATTGTAACTAATATTACCACAAAATACATAAAAGAATATTTAACTGAATTAAAAATAGAAATTGACATGTGTCATGAGATATTTTTATATGATTCTCTTAATACTGATAGAGCAGATAAATTAACAGTAAAATTATGTAAGACTTGAAACATTCATGCAAACACTGGCTATTACATATTGGTATTACATGTAATATTGATAACATATAATTATTAATAATATATTAATATTATTAATATATATGGTATGTTTTTTATGTATTTATGTACAAACTTATGTTAACAATGAAAGGCTATAGATAACTGTCTTATATAAACTGACCTATAGTAAGACATAAAAAGTACTTTTTTTTTACTTGTTTATTTTTTTTAACTTTTTTTAAATTTCTTACATACATGACAGTAGTGGAATGCATTACAATCCTAATTATCCATTCACAACACCATTTTTCGTAACTCTGTATATAAAGTATGTTCACTCCAAATTATGCTATTATACATGAGCTCTATTATTATTATTATTATTATTTGCAATACGATTCTTAATACACCTTTATACCACAATTTATCATATCTCTGATTGAATATAAGGTATGTTGACACCAAATTCAGAGCATTCTTAGATAGTATTATCTTAATTCGATGACATTAAATTACAGTGGACTTCACAAAGCATTTTAGCAATGCTACTTTAATTGAAAGGAATAACACTGTTGTGATTATATGACACAATGCTCTTCAAACGCAAAGTAAGCACCCAATAAAGTACTTCAGAGTTATGCTTCATGATATGCTTTACAACTTACATTTTAAAATCAAGTGGAGAGAGCACTAGTGATCATGGCATTAAATATTAACAATGGGAACAAAGAGAATAATGGTGTTCTATATAATGTTAATATCCCTACAAATTTCCTGAAAGCTTGAAATTATTTCCAGATAAAATGTTTAAAAAGGATGAAAGTAACATAATTTCATAAGAACAAACAATGGAGAGAATTCAGGAGGCTAAAAGAAATGTCAATCATGCACACCTATTAGAAGGAATGAAAACTTTGGAAATTATGAGTAAGAGTAGAAACATGAAATTTCTTTTAATTTCTTTAAACAACAATTAGAAACTTAATTAAAATAGAAGTTCTGAGAAAGAACCAATTATTAAACAAAGTAATATTTTAAGAAAGTTTTATTTTAAAAAAGTTTCTCCAATTTAGCATTTAATCAAATAGCTTATATGGAAAGAGATTTAGGAAAGAATTTCATTAAATATTGGAGTGCACCTAGAAGAATCCACAGCTAATTATAACTCAGTAGGCTATAGTATAGTAGAACCCTTCCATACAAAGTGCTACATTATTTCTATAATTCTATACTGATTTGAAGGACAACACATAAAACCTGGTCTCTTTATGTCAGTGTAAAGGCAATGTACAATGTTTCTTTATGCCCTAAAATATGTGCTGAAGCACATATTTTGAACAGAATAAAATATATTCCTATTGTAAAAAATCAAAAGTTTCTTATTCATATTCCCCTGAATTCCAATACAAAGCAAAATCTAATAAAATATATCAATAATACCTACCATTGCTTTATCTATTATGATTTGTATTTTCAGTGTTGTTTTCAATGTTATCTCTGAAGTTTTCTGTGAAATAGAAGAGTGAAATAAAACATTTTAAAAATTCTTACATGTAATTAGCATATGCTATAAACATGTATATATGTGTATTCTGTACATTCACAGAAACACATTAGATACAAAACACATTAGATACATGGATATAGATGTGTTATATGAAATTAAGAGTATGGATGATCATTTAAAAGGTAAGAATCCAAATAAAGATCTTAGATACAAGTCAACAGCATTCCACTTTATATTCTTGCCATTTAGAATCTTCAAAAAAAAATCACTGAAATGAGATGGCAATCTATGTTTTCTTCCTCTCAAAGCATTCCCATGTGCCTTGCAGAACACTCCCACATCACCATCTTCAAAATAAATTTCCATCAGCACTTGTCTAAACATGATCTGTATTTTCTTGTTCTTTGTACTTTGACTTTATTAACTTTATTAAGGTTTTCAATCAATAAAATACATCCATTTATGGATACGGTTATGATATATAACTAATGTTATCCACTCACATAACCATTGCCATAATTAAGAGAAAGAATCTTTCCATCATGTTCTTCCATGTAAATAAACTTTCTCACACCACAGGTTAGAATAATCTATTCCAGAATTTATGTAAGTGGCCTCATTTGGTATGTAATCTTTTTAATCAGGATTGTGACAGTCAGCGTTCCTTTCATCCTTGGCATTATTAGTAGTTCAACAGATTTGTTGTCATTTTAAAGGTATATCACAATTCATTTAGACACAAGACTGATGATGGTTACTTGGATTACTTATACAGTAATTGTGGGTATGTAAAGTTGTATGAAAGAGACAAGTGACTTTCCAAAATAAGTTGATCATTATGCTTTCTCACTAAGAATTTATATAGTCCCAATTTTTCTACATCCTTCTCTAGGTTTGGTACTTTATCTTCCTCATTTTATCCAATCCTGCTGTTCTGTATTAATATCTCTTTGAGGTTTGATGTGAATTTCTCAGGTGCTTCATAGTGTTGAATATCTCTTTTCACACATTTGCAGTTCATTAACTTGGTTTCTACTGAATTTCCTACTAAAAATTTCATTTAGCTTTGGCCATTAAGTCTACAGTGAATTCAATTTTTGTATAAAGTTCAGAACTCATGTCATTCTGTATGGACATCCAATACTCTCTTCTCACCATTTCTTAAGAATTGATTAGCCTTTGAAAATCCTTAGCAACATTGTGAAAAATCCATTAACCAATGATCTCTGGTTCTATTTCATTTATTAAGTTTCCAATAACTTTTGTGAATCTGCTAAATTTTATTTTTAATAATTCCTGATTGTGATTTGGTGGATCAATACTTTCTCACATCTCTCAAAGGATACTAATAGTAATTTTTTGTCCTCATCCTCTATACTCTTTGTTACTTCAAAATTTAACTATATTTTTGTCATGTTTCTGTCTTCCATATTACACTGTTATTCTGTGACTGGAGTCTCTTCCATATTAAGAATCTAACAGTAATAGCTTATTCTAACTTCTGTGATTTTGTAGTGTTTTTTGGGATGGAGTCCTCACAGAGAGTAATTTATTTTTTATTTTGTCTTTGATTTAGAAAAACAGCTCTGCTGTCAATATGGCTAGGTATTTTCTTTACTTACTTAGAATCATTTTCCAATATAACTCCTTAGAAGAATATCAAAGCCTGGTTCCCATTACCCCATGTGCCACACATTTAATTTAACCATGGTAGGTTCAGTGTTTTTTTTTTCCTCTTAATTGTGAGAGACAGCAGAACATCTGTGTCTGGCATCATGACCTCAAACACTCCCAAAAGTTTGCTTTCCATCTGTCTATAAAATGCAGTTGCTTAGGAGAAGATGGCTTTTCTAAATTTTCGCCCAAATTCCCTCTGAAGATACCTTCATATCCACTAACTAATGAATTTAAATAGACAATCCCAGAAATTTGTTGTATGTTTCTGCAATATAAATAACTGTCCTCTAGTTTAGAATTTGCTAGCTTGTCTTCATTTCTAGGATAAGATCAGTTTGGGAGAGGCTAAATCAGCTGTTCTCTCTCTTCTATTCAAGTTCTACTGCTGTTACTCTTCTCCTATACTGCTTGTCTCTGCATGTTGATATCTTTTTATTGGGATTTAAGGCAGGAGAAGGGATAAACAGATGTGTTCAGGTTTTAAAGCTCTTTATCATATTTCGTTTGACTGCTGGTTCTGTTTTCAACTGTATTTATAAGAAAGAAATTTACACTCCATGTTTATTGATGTCCTTTCACATATGTAAGAACATGTCTAAATAGATTTTATGTTATTTTCCATTCTTTTAAAAAAATCTTATCTTGTAGATATTCACTTATTTGTGCCTATAAAGCAGTTTTGCACATATAGATTTAAATTTATATATATATATATATATAATATATATATATATATAAAAATTTAAAATTTAAATCTATCAAATTGATAATGAAAAGCAATGATTGAGATTCCCCATGAAAGATATGAAATTCACAAATATGTACCAATACCCAGTTATCTCTACTCCTGTAATGACGTCTATGCAGGGACTTCTTAATAGTTTCTGAAATTTGGAACTATTTGTTTCTGTTTTAATTCATTGCTGCATTTTGTGTTTGAAACTTTTCATAAGTTTTCATAACTGCTTAACCAAACTTTTCATAACTGCTTGATTATGTGGCTCCACTACATCAAAAAATGTGGTAAGAAAATAGTAATAGTTATAGTATTAACATTCATTGTTTGCTTTTATTCTCCACATACTATGCTAAATAATTTCCACAGTTAAACTTGTTTAAACATTGTAAGACTTGCATATTACTAGTTAATATTATTAATTTTTGTTATTATATTTTTAATAAATGATAAAATATAAACACTTTTTACATAATTATGTGATTTTTCCACATTCTTGTGATGTCAGATTTGCAATTCAAACTCAGGCAGATGGAGGTGAAAGTTATCTGTGACTCTTCCAGTCCCTCTCTATTACTGGTTCACTGGAGGAGGATGGTTGCAAACAGTTTCTAAATTGTCTTTCCTAACACATCAATTCTCATGTTTTTCTCTTGCTAAAGAAGTGTTCATAGAATCCTTCAAAGTTTTTCAATTTACTTTCTGTGTAAGGCTCAGTTTCAGTGGTGAATATTTCCTTCAACTGTGTACAATTTTGTGTCACATCACAAAGAGTGTTTCCAAAGGGCCAACGTGAAGTTGGGCGTCATTTTTCAGTTTCACTAAAAATTATGCTAATTCTAATGTATGTGGGTTTCTCAAAGGTCAATTTTCTTGACCTGTCCTTTTATTAATACCTTTGCCAAAATAAATAAAAGCAAAGTAAGGAAACAGAGAGATGGACTATGTCATATATTAAATTCAAGCTTCATTTATTGTTATTTTGTTTGAATTTCCTTTAATGTGAAGCAGTGTTGATGACAATGTGTGGAAAGAAAATAATTTATTTTCCACTGATAACCACATGTAAGTTATAAAATCATTCTAAAGAGAGAAGTTAGGATGTACATCAAAAATATTTTTTAAATATGTTATTGTTATAATATTGTTAAATGTAATTATCTATAAGAAGTTTGATTGTTCAAAAACTTTGTACATTTTAAAAGTCAATTATTGTTTAAACAGAAAAATAAGACTTCAAAATAATACAGTGTTGGGCTGGGATTGTGGCTCAGCGGTAGAGCGCTCGCCTAGCATGGCCAGGACCCAGGTTCGATCCTCAGCACCACATAAAAATAAAGGCATTGAGTTGTGTCCATCTACACCTAAAAAATAAATTTAAAAAAGTTTTAAAAGTATTAAAAATAAATAATACAGTGTTATAAAATGAATAAATTTAAATTTCAACATATATAATTATGTCAGAAAAAGAAAAACAATTTACATCAAAATGATAACAGGGCATGAAGCAACATAATTTAGCTCTAAAAATGATGCTTTGGTACATTTCCATTTAATTTTTTCTTTACTATATTGATAGATAAGTTAAGCCATATTAATTTTTAAAATAATAAATGGAACAATTCAATAAAGTAAAGTATTATCATCTAGCAAGATGAAAATTTCAAAGAAATTTAGAATATTATATTATTTTAAAAGTCTATACACTCAAAAATCTACATTCATAATTGAGAAAATGAAAACAATCAGAACAAATGTCCCCAAATTCTAACAGTGCTCTCTTTTGATATTGAGGTTTGAGACAATTGTTAGTAATTATCTTGTCTCCATCCTACTTTTAAACTTTTTATCAAAATAACACACTTTTTTAAACAAAAACTTTGAATTGACAAAGATAATGGTTCCAGAGTAATAACATATACCTTTTGAAATCATTATACTATTAGTGTACATATGCAGTAAAAAGAAACCTTATATGTTTGTGCATAAAAATCATGCCATTGAGGTTTTTATCTGTTGTATTTTCTAAGAACTATCTGAATAAACAAAAACATTTTATGAAAAAGACCCCAAAATAAAAGTTTTTAATATTGTAATTATCATTTTAAGTTTGTTTTCCAAATGTATCAAATCTCAAAATTTCAAAGTGAACAACTTTAACAAACATAACATATACAAAGATAATAATAACAAGGGTTACTCACGTCTGTTTTCACAAGAATCCTGTAAGGCTGACCTATATAGTGGGGCCTAGAGTAACCTTCTGTTAAGGGGGGATATTCAACTTGATCATTATTTATTTGGTAAATCATATGTTCAAATACAGCTGAAGATTCCAAAGGTTCAATTCCATAACTGACATTCTCTAACAGCAAGAATCCCCTAAATTTTCAAATACAGTAAAAGAAATGAAAGTTTAATTAGTTCAAATTTCCCATCGAAAAATATACATTGATATCTTAAGAAACATTTTTTTACCATACAACTTATTTTTATTTTTTAGTCATACATGACAGCAGATACATACATGGAATGTACATACAATCATATTGTCTGTTCTATTCTGCTGACCTTCCTATCCCTTCTACTCCTCCCCTCCTCTCCCATCCTTTCTCTCTATCCAATCTAATGTGACACACTTTTTTTCTTTTTCTCATTACAACATCATATATGTATTCTGTATAACAATGAGGTTCTCCTTCCATCTTCCGTGCAACTCCCCTTCTCCCTCTTTTTCCCTCCCACCTTTCTTCCCTATTTAGTGGTAGTCTTCTTCTCATGCTCTTCCTCCCTATCCCATTTTGAGTCACCCCCCTTATATCAGAGAAGACATTCGGCATTTGTTTTTTAGGGATTGGCTAACTTCACTTAGCATAATCTGCTCTAATGCCATCCATTTGCCTGCAAATGCCATAATCTTGTTATTTTATAGTGCTGAGTAATATTCCATTGTGTATAAATGCCACATTTTTTTAATCCATTCATCTATTGAAGGGCATCTAGGTTGGTTCCATATTCTAGCTATTGTGAATTGTGCTACTATAAACATTGATGTGGTTGTGTCCCTGTAGTATGCTCTTTTTAGGTCTTTTGGGTATAGTCCGAGAAGGGGAATAGCTGGGTCAAGTGGTGGTTCCATTCCAAGCTTTCCAAGGAATCTCCATACTGCTTTCTAAATTGGCTACACCAATTTGCAGTCCCACCAGCAATGTATGAGTGTACTTTTTTCCCCACATCCTCGCCAGCACTTATTGTTGTTTGACTTCATAATGGCTGCCATTCTTATTGGAGTGAGATGGTATCTTAGAGTGGTTTAAATTTGCATTTCTCTGTAATCTTATATCAATAATAGCTCCCACTTGAATTAAGTTTCAAAACCAGTTTTATACAGATCTTCCCTCTGTTGTAGCATTTAAAGTGAGTTGTGGTTCTAATACGGCAGAGAAACATAAAAATTCTTCATGCTAGTAAGGGGCTTTTTCTTAGGATGTCAAAACAAAGAAGACAAATATGAGAAAGGATAGGCACAAGAGGAGGAAACAAAGTATATGAAAAGAAACACAATCAAAAACTATATTCTTTTGTCTCACTCTATTCTAAAAATCAATAGTTGACAAAAGACCTCAATCAATGTCCACTGTCAGATTATGCCATTACCTGAGTCCTGAGCAGATGTCTAGTGTCACAGCAGATTGTGGAATATCTTCAATATTTCCTTGATAAAAGCAATCACCCTAAGAAAGAAGATATATTCATAATTGATTTCTAAATGAAGTCCTCAGTTTTATTCTTACTCCCTAGATATCATCAAGCACTCAGATTTAGCTATCATCATAATACCAGTCATCTGATATTCTGTGTCCTTACTCTTGGTGTGCAAATTGATCCTTTAAACTGTCTTCTGCCTATAAACCATCAGGATCATCAACCTACTTCAAACATTTCTTGCTATAATTCTAATTATTTTGTGAACAACTTTCTTATCCTTTATAACTTATAATTAACAGAATACAGCTAATATCAACTGCAAACATTCCATTAATTTTTCTGGGCTACCTAAAAGCATAGTAAATGACATTCCCTCACTTTGATTTCTTCTTAATATCTTGCTTGAGAAATCACTGATGATCATTACTTCAAGCTCTCCCTACCATTGACTTTCATAGTCTTATTCTTTTCCCAGCTCTCCCCTAACATTCCTTTAGTGAATTCCTTTTTCCCTTCCTTTAAATTCTAGTGATCTCTAGAGTCAGTTCTGTTCCTATAGTAGTCAATACTGTGAAAATTTCAGGTCATCACATTGGTCTCTTATGAGTCTGTTTATATATTATTAGCTCCCAGGCATCACTGGCCACTTTTGTTTGTTTGTTTGTTTGTTTTAATTTACACAATACCCTTACCTCTACTCATGGAGAGTGGCAAGCTAGATCTATTCTCTGTGGTAGTCAATAGAGCGTAGGTGAGCTAATCCATTTTTATTTAGCACACAATGACAGCAAAGTGCTGGACCCACCCACATCACTAGAAATGACTGTCTGCACACAGTAATATAATACCCTACTTCATGTTAAGCAATAGTAGCAGACCCCTGTAACTCCCTTCACAAAGAGTAGAAGAGAAAGCAGATCCCAAATCACTTCCCAGAAATAGAAAGCATTACAAATTTACCAATTCCTGAACATGCTCCAAGAGAAAGGATAGGATCCCTGTAAGATATTTTCTAATAACCATACAGTAAAAGTTCAACCAGACAGGATAATTCCTTACTAAGGGACATAAGAAGAGATAGAAAGAAGTACAATGACACCCATTCTTCTGATAACCAGAGGAATTGCTATTCATCCCACAGGTATTCATCACCCATGCTCCCATATCAATACCATTTGGCCCAGGAAAGTACCATATAAATTTATAGTTTAATCACTTCAGATGAATCAGGAGATTCAGCACAGGCAAGTCCTAAGAAAGCTACATTGCCCTTGGAATATCAGGCCACACTATACGTAAAATTAAACTAGAAGTCTGCCTTCTAAAAGAGAATGTTTAAATAAGATCAGGAGTACTCTTCAGTAAATGTTAAGGGTATAATCAAAATCACTCATTGTACCAATAATAAAGAAAATCACAATAAGAATCAGAAAAGGAAATAAACTGATGCCAACATTAAGATGTATAACACATGAGAACTACTTTTAAAATGATTAGAAGGCAGTTATAATAAAATGGCACCAATGAGCAATTACAAATTCTCTTGAAATAAATGAAAATGCAGGAGGACCTGGAATAATATATAACAAACTTTAAAATTAGTGGGTGCCAACCAAGATTGTTGTGTCTGGGAAAACTATCTTTTCAAACTGAAGATGAAAGGAAAACCTACTATGATTCATATAAATTATAACAATTCATAACCACTAAGCCAACACTACTAAACACTAGCAAACATACTCAGTGAAATATTTCACCCAGAAGAAAGGTAAAATAAAAATGAGAACAAGCAAAGGGATGAATTGCACTGGAAGAAGAGTCAATCAAAGAAGAATCAAATCTGTATTTAATATTAGAAATAAATCAAAATGGCAGGAAATAAAAATCATCACTGTAAAATAATACTGAAGTTAAATGGTCTAGGTGCTCCAATCAAAAGGCATAGATTGTTTTAATTCAATATAACAAGACCCAACCATAGTTGTTTTAAGAGATTCCTCTTATAGGAAAAGATATCCACAGACTGAGAGGAAAGACCAAAAGTAAACAGAAATAGCTACTCTCATATCTGACAAAGTAGCCTTCAAATTAAAATTAAGTAAAAGAAACAAGGAAGGTAACTTCATAGTGGTTAAGAGAACCATCCAACAAAATATATGATTGTAAATATTTATGTCTCAAAACAATGGTGTACCTACATATATAAAACAAACACTAGTCAACAGAAAGATTCAAATAGATCCCAATAAAATAATATTGGTTGATTTCAATAAACTTCTCTCAACATATAGGTCATCCAAACTGAAACTGAGTAAAGACCCTTCAGAACTAAAAAAAAAAATGCTACTAATAAAATGAACCTAACAGACATCTATAAACTATTTTCAGCCATTGTCAAGCAAGCTCACTTTCTTTGTAAAGACACCACATTTTGAATACAAAGCAAGTGTTAGAAAATACAAAATAATAATAATAATAATCTAATGCTATACCTCTAGGTCCTAAAAAGAAAAGAACAAACTATCCCAATATTAATAGAAGACAGGAAGTAATTTCACAGATTAAATTGAGATTAAAAAAAAAACAATAAAAATTATCAATACAACAAAGAAAAGCTAAACAGGATTGATAAACTTTAGCCAAATTAACAAAATCATAAGCAGAAGATCCAATTCAACAAATTAGGGATGAAAAATCTGTCACTACAGACATGTCTAAAATCAGAAGGTTCATTTGAAACTATTTTGAAAATTAATACTCCAAACAACTAGAAATGTAAAAATGAGAACATATTGACAAATTTCCAGATACATATGACTTACCTAAATTAAACCAAGAGACTATAGAAAATATACACAAAACAATATCAAGCAATGTGATTAAAGCAGCAATCAACAGAGAAAGTCATCCAACAGAGAAAATCCCAGGACCACAGAGATTCTCAACTGAGTTCTACCAGATCCTTAGAGAAGAAATAATACCAATCTTCTTCAAATTATTCCATGAAATAAAAATTCCAAATTCATTCTATGAAACCAGTATCACCCTGATACCTAAACCAGACAAAGACACATCAAGGAAAGAAAACTATAGATTAATATTTCAAATGAAAATATACTCAAAAATCCTTAATAAAATATTAAGAAACCATATTCAAGAACACAGTAAGAAGATAATATACCATGATCAAGAATCACATGATCATCTCAATAGATTCAGAAAAGTATTTCATAAATTCCAGCACCTATTTTTGTCAAAATGCAGGAGAAACTAGACTTAGAAAGAACTCACATCAACATCATAAAGAGTATATATGAGAAACCCAACCCAGCATCATACTGAGTGGAAAAAAAGTGAAAGCATTTCCCCCCAAATCAGGAAGAAGCATGTCCATTCTCATCACTCCTATTTGATATAATTCTTTAATCTCTAGCCAGAAGAAACAGAAAAGAGAAAAAATTAAAGGGATACAAATAGAAAAGTAAGTCAAATTACCTCTGTTTGTTGATGACTGAATCCTATATGTAGAATACTAGAAAACTCCACCCGAAGACTTCTAGAGCTGATAAACAAATTTAGCAATGTAGCAGGATATGGAACCTACATACATAACAGCTTTCTTATACTCCAATCAGTTGAGAAATAAATCAGGGAAACTATCCCATTCACAATAGCCTTAAAAAATATTAGGGGTATATCTAACATGGAGATGAAAACCTCTACAATAAAAAACTGTAGAACATTCAAGAAAGAAATTGAAGATCTTAGAAGATCAATAGACCAACCATACTTTGAACAGGCAGAATTAATATTGTCAAAATGGCCATATTACCAAAAATCTTAAACAGATCCAATGCAATTCCCATCACAATGACTGTGATATTCTTCACTGATGGAGAAACATAATGAAAAATTTATAAGGAAGAACAAAAATACCTAGAATAGCTAAAAGAATACTGAACAAAAAGACTGATGCAGGACGCATCATAATACATGATCTCCAATTATACTACTAATCTACAGTAACAAGAAAGCATGGTATTGCCATTAAAACAGACCTAAAGACCAGTAAATAGAATAAAAGTCACAGGGCAAATCCACATAGATACAGTAATCTGAGACTTAACAAAGGTGAGAAAAGTATATGTTGGAGAAAAGACAAGCTTTTAAACAAATGGTGCTGGGAAAACTGAATGTCTATATCTAAGAGAATGAAACTAGATCATTATCTCTCACCCTGGACAAAAGTAAATTCAAAGTGAACAAAGAACTAGGAATTAGACCAGAAAATTTTCAACTGTGAGAAGAAAATATAGGGTCAACACTCCAACATATTTGCACAAGCACTGACTTCTTTAAGAAGACCTCCTAAAGTTCAAGAAATCAAACCAAGAATTAATAAGTGAGAAAACATCAAATTGAAAAGCTTCTACACAACATAGAAAACAAGAGTGTGAAGAGAGAGCCTAGAGAATGGGAGAAAATCTCTGCCAGCTACGCCTTTGACAGGGGATTAATATCTAGAATATATAAGGAACCCCAAAATTTAACAACAAAAAAATCCAATGAACAAATGGGAAAGTGAACTCAATAAACACTTGTCAAAAGAAGAAATACAAATTACAAATGAATATAAGAAAATATATTCAACATATCTGTCAATCAGGGAAATGTAAATGAAAACTGCACTGAGATTTCATCTCACACCAGTTAGAATGACAGTGATTAAAGATACAAATAATAAATTCTGATGAGGATTTGGGCAAAGATACACTTATATATCATTAGTAGGGAAGCAAATTAGTATAACCACTTGGAAACAGTATGGAGCTCCTCAAAAACTAGGAATGGACCCTCCATATGGCCCAGGTATTCCACTGCTTCTTAATTCCACTCCTTATCCACAAGAACTAAAATCAACATACAGAGTGATACAAACATATCAATGTTTATAGTAATACAATTCACAGTATAGTATCCAGTTATCAAATCATTCCAGGTGCCTATCAACATACAAATGGGTAAA